CAACATGGACAATCCAAGGGGCAGCAGAATTCCTGCCCTCCCACGTCACCTCCACCCGCAGCCTTTCAAAAGAAGGCCAACTTTATCTGAAGGAGATTAGCTGCAGAAGGGTGGCAGAGAAATGCTTTCAACAGCAGGTGCCAGATGATTGTTCAGGCCTTGGCAAGAGGGAGAACTCTTAACTTTCTGTTGCCCACTGTGTAGTGTGGACAGGATCCGTCCCTTGGCAGGAAGAAGGACCTTGCACAGCATCCCCAGGGACTGTTCCCAAGAGAGCTAAAACCACTCAGCTCTATGTCAGTCAGAGATAAGGATTATGGAGTCAGATACTCCTGGAAAAGTCCATCGTGGTAGGGAGATAACACTCACAGCTTCTTCCAGTAGTTCCTCTCAAGTGACATTTAAACACTCCTTGAATCCAAATCTCACAGTTCAACATTGACAGAGATCAGAGTTCCTTATGGTTTGGTCTGATAATAAGGGTTAAGAGACATGTCGGGCACCCGCGCTCGCCCTCAAGGAGTCATGCTCTGAATTTGGACAGGACAAGAATCACGAGGTGAAAGGACCTGCCAAAAATTCATCCAACTACTGGTGGAGGAGGATTCAGATATTAATATATTATTAATATATGCTGCTATAATTAGCAGCTGGATCCTCAGAATTAAGGAATGAAGAATGAAAATCCAGTTCCTCTTGGGAATGAAGCAGAAGAGAGCAGTGTTTGCTGGACACATTTACCTTGCACAGCAGTGAATGTTCTTCAGCTACAAAAGATTTCTAGAGGAAACTTTGGAGGGCAAGAGCCAGGTTGAGCAAAGCATCAGCCCCCAAGGCTGCTGAGAACACAAACCCACCTCAGTCGTGCTCTGGATTTAACTGAGGAACTGGTCAGAATGAGTTCAAAAACCAGGAAGAGAGGGATGTGTTTCCCGTCTCTCACAACTGCCAAGTGCTACCACCTTGCTGGAATCTGCCTGAGGAACAGGAAGAACACTCACAATCACGGAATGCAGTTGGAGAAACGCAGCGGGGCAGAGGGTGGGGGATAAGAAGGTCAAATTAAAATCCCAATTCTTTCAAACTCAGGCCAGATTGGACATTCAGGAGTGTCCTTTCAAACTGGTCACACAGCTGAGAGCACAGACGTGCCTTTCGGAAGTTCTTGGGCAGAGCTGCTTGTGCCCCACGTGGCAGCCAGCCACAGGCTTAGCTCTGTGGTGGCCTTTCAATCTCTGTTGAGAACCAAAGCCTTCATAGGAGGTGAAAGGTTTCAGCGAGACCTAGACCCTCCAGACCTTCCTTTCAGCACCAGCTACCTCGTGGCACAAGTCGTGTTCCAGCTTGGCAGGATCTCCTGTGGGCTACACTCCAAGCACCGCAGACAGAGCTCCAGGCAGCCTCCAGGAACCTCTAGAGAGGGGCTGCAACGTAGGAACCCCGGGAGGAGAAGCAACCACAGCGCCCTGCACTGAAGCTACATGGACAAAGTTGAGGATGAACGTTACGGATGGGCTGTCGGTGGCACTAGAGGCTGCTGTCACCCCAGATGAAGGTGGATAATCCAGTGGGCTGCAACCACCACGACCCTCCCAATCCCCACCACTTGCTTGCACCAAGTGGAAACAAAAAGGGTTGTGCACCAGGAAGAACAGGGTCCATGTGATTTGAGCAAGCTGGTCTAGTGGGAGGTGTCCCTGCTCATGGCAGGGGGTTGGAACTAAATGATCTTAAGGTCATCTCCAACCCAAATCATTCAATGATTCTATGATCTATTGGAGGCACCACATCCACGCACTCGTAATTCACCCTTAGCAGAGGCAGTGCTGCTCTGAGTTCAGCTGCAAGTGCAGCGTGAGGCAATTTGGCACTGGCAGGAGATCACCAGATTGGGCAAAGAGCAGCGTTGATCAGTGCCTGCAGAGTGCCCACGGGAAACAAAAGGCAATTGCCTGGCAAATAGATTGACTTGGAGGGTGGCACGAGGCCAGCTCCGGGCAGCGGCACAGCGCTACAGGGGAGGCAGCTGGGCATGTAAATA